TCTATTTTTCATTTTACTGCATCAGTTTCTTTTATTATATTATTTCAATTTATTTCTCTATATACTATATAGTGCATAAGTGTTTTGTTAAATATTCTGCAGGAAAACGACCATGAGTACTATACTGAGTACTAATATATCTGCCTATGAGTAAATCTCTAAAGAAACACTCGGATGAGTACTCATCAGAGTACATGAAGAGTATGCATACACATCAAAATTCTCGAGCACTTGTGTGAATAGTATGAGTACTCACGCTGAAAAGTCGTACTCGCTTGATGAGTATTTTCACTAGGGTTATCATCTTTCTTTGATAAAAATATTTGTCAATGATACACATTGTTTTATCCAAAACTAAATAGCTAAATCGAAAAGATACTTGTCAAGACGTAACATTGAAATGTTTTTTCCTTTTTCTATTTTCGTCCATAATTGTCTTTTACTAACGAGGGAACATTCCCAAGTGATTCGCTCTGTTTTGATTCATTTATACCTCATTTGATAGAGTATATTGGGATAAGAAAAAGCCTAAAGGGATTCGTGCCCATAGCCTTGTAGTTGAGAGTTACGGCCGTTTTACTGAAATTTTTACTGTGAGCCAGGCATTTCGGAAAAAAACAAAATGAAGAATTTCGAGCTGAAATTCTATCTATAGATAGATTTAATAGTCATTATGTAGTCCTAAAAGTTTCAACGAAAACGAACATGTCTTTCTCGAGATATTCAATTTAAAAAGAAAACAGGTGTTTACCATAGAAGGGCACAATAATTGAGTTTAGTTGGACATTGAATATCTCGAGAAAGACATGTTCGTTTTCGTTGAAACTTTCAGGACTACATAATGACTATTAAATCTATCTATAGATAGAATTTCAGCTCGGAATTCTTCATTTTGTTTTTTTCCGAAATGCCTGGCTCACAGTAAAAATTTCAGTAAAACGGCCATAACTCTCAACTACAAGGCTATGGGCACGAATCCCTTTAGGCTTTTTCTTATCCCAATACACTCTATCGAATGTGGTATAAATGAATCAAAACAGAGCGGATCACTTGGGAATGTTCCCTCGTAAGTGGACACATCTAATTCTATTCTTTGTCATAATATTCTTTTTTAGATGTCTTATATTTTGTTGTAAAAAAATGTTAAAAGTAGTGATGATGATGATCCGCCTAATTTTTAAATGGACATTATTATCTCTAATTCATTATTTATCAATGATAAATCATCTTCATATATTTTATTTCGAAAAGATGATGTAGCCACGGAATAATCAAACGATATTACTAACGCTGCATGTTCAACTGAAGATGGCAATGCTGATCTCAATGAATTATTTCGTTTAAATGATGTAAACTATCAACGTAAAATTTATATACTCATCATTTGTTATGAATGTGGGATGACAATGAAAAAGTTATTGAATTTTTGTAATTTTTTCATTTACTTTTTTTTTTTTATTAAGCACCTATTGTAAGATTTGATAGCTTATGTATAGCTAGACTTGTTTAGATGTGTAATATGATATATCATTAGTTTTTCTATTTAACAATTATTTTTTTTTATTTCTGGAAATATATTTAATATTTACTTTCTAATTCTATGTAATTTGACACCTCAAAATTGTAATATCCTGATTTCTATTACTTTACTGGTTTTTTGTATTAATAAAAAAAAAGTATAAGTAGTAATTTTCTTTACATAAAGAAAAAATATTGATAACAAGTTATCAGATTTATACTTTCGAAAAATATTACAGTAAAAAAAATGCAATGTGGAAGAAAGTCAGAGACGACATTCGATCACGAATATACTGGAATTTTTTCAACAGGGTACCTAAAAATACTGTAGTAGTACTCAATTGAGTATCTGATCAGTACCTTCACGTATCCATTTACTAAATATTTTGTAGCAGGGTATTCGCCAAAGTACCATATAGTACCTAAAAGTACTTTAAAGTACTTAGGTACTCAAAAGTTTCTGTGACATGCTAGTAGCAGGGTACTTTTTGGGATACCCTGAACTCAGTACATTCTCTAGGGTATTTGACATAATTTAATTCTCTTCTTTTGTTTAATTTAATTTAATTTTATATTTAAATCAATTTAATTTGATTTGATATTATAGTTTATTTATTTAAATTTAAAAATATAAAAATTGTGACTTTTCGTATCTCGATAAGATACTTCATCAGACATAAAAATTTTAAGACAAATGACATGTACATACAAGCGAATTTTTCTTTTCTTTTAGTATTAGTCATACTTTTGATAGCGATACGGAAAAGGATTCAATCCTTAGCTAGCTATTACTATTACCGTCTTGTTTTCCGTATCACTATCAAAAGTATGACTAATACTAAAAGAAAAGAAAAATTCGTTTGTATGTACATGTCATTTGTCTTAAAATTTTTATGTCTGATGAAGTATCTTATCGAGATACGAAACGTCACAATTTCTAAATTTTTAAATTTAAATAAATAAACTATAATATCAAATCAAATTAAATTGATTTAAATTTAAAATTAAATTAAACAAAAGAAGAGAATTAAATTATGTCAAAGATGTCAACCTTCTTAACAAAACAAGAATTCAAATTTGAAAGATTCTAGTAGGTCGTTAGTTACTTAAAACAATTAAAGATCACAAAATATTTTCTAGATATGTAAGACCGAAACTGGACTCTAATTTACTGGAGAATGTGGAAAGAAGGGTTACAGTGGTTCATTTCGAAAAACTCTACATTTTTTTGCCGATAAAAAAGGAGACTATTTCGTTCTCTCTTAGATCATCCAAAATCGTGAGAAGAGGAGAAATAAAAAGCAATATCTAGCAAATCATCTGACCCGGTTCAACAATTTCGATGAGAAATAGCTTCGACTAAATTCCTTCCTTTCAGTGTTCGGACTCTGAAAACGGGTCAATTAATCTGATAGTTCTGTCACTTATACGTAGCAGAAAACTTAGACGAATACGTGTCAGTTAATTATAAGTGTACAAGTCCAATTTTTCTCTACTATTTTCATCGACCTCGAAACTTTTTTGTCCATCAGTCGCCCTAAGTGAAAGATCCAAAATATGAATAATCATTATGAAATAAAGTTTGTACAGTATGCTTCACGCGATCATTATGAATTTTTTAATCCAAAACTCTTTCAAAATTAAGTAGCCTCTTGCTGTTTCTCTGTTTACATTGCAATCAAATCACAGAACTACTGAAATATTCGGAATCAAGAACGAAGAACGAAGTGGCTATCACCGTTTTTTCGATATGATGTCTACATAGTTTTTATGCAACGCCCTTTTAATTACGATAACTAGAAGTTTATATCCGAAAACCTTTTACTCCTCCTTACAGACACCGATGGTTTTACCCTGTAAGAAGTGTAACAAGATCAAATCGCACTAGAAACCTTTCTTTCGATCACATCAGATATTCCTTACTTTTATTTGTCAAACTTTACTTACGTAAGAGTCAAAGCCAACTGACGAGTATTCTTTTCGGGGAACATGAATTCTGGATCTTGGCCCGCCGAGACTCACCCTCACCCTCGCCCTCAAGAAAGTACATAGACTTTTCGAAATAATATTAACCACCATGAGCATAGTTTGATTTACCTAACGAAATCATTTTTTGTATATTTAATTATTTGTCACCTAATTAGCATTATAAATAGTTTATCTTTCTATCAAATTTTCTTAAATCTAAAACAAATCATTATCTCAATGAATAATCACGTTCAATACTTCAGAAAGTGTACAATTCAAAAGCTCACAATCTAGTGAGAATCGAATGTAAAATTTTATCCAAAGAATCACCTTTTAAACATCTCGAAAACGTTGAAAAAAAACTTCAGGTGAAAATCTTTGAGAATGCAAATTGATTAAAAACACTTTCATATTTACCTGAACGATTAGCATATATCGCAGACGAATCTTTTTCGAGTTTAACATCTAAGTTAAAGTTTCATTCATTATCATTACATTCAAAACGAAAATATTCACATCATCAATCTTAAGGAAATCCGATGGTATAACTTATAGAATGGCTATTTGTGTCTAATGAAAGATGTGAGTTCGTTTCCTATCGTCTGCATCATGCATTTTACTCATTCTCTCGTAATGAATAAAATGTACCGTGTAGTACAAGCGGAGCTCTGAGTCGGTGGACAATCCGCCCATGATGTCAGCTAGATAATACCTAGAATGTTGAGAGATTAAATGATTAAAAATCAGTTGATACATCATAACTCTGTCAGCCTATTCACTCAACCATTTGCACTAAATAACAGTTGTATCTCTTATTGATAACTGCAACAGAGACGCTCGAGCAAATGAACATCCAATGCGTGCCAAGTAATGAAAATATTTTTAGTGTAGCGGAAAATATTATATCGCAAAGAGTATCAATTAANAATTGAGTTATATAGATACCCAGTCCGACTGGGTCACCCAGTCGGACTGGGTACCAGTCGGACTGGTACCCCAGTCGGACTGGGTACCAGTCGGACTGGGTGACCCAGTCGGACTGGGGTACCAGTCGGACTGGGTACCCAGTCCGACTGGGTGACCCAGTCCGACTGGTACCCAGTCCCCAGTTCTACACTGGCACTGGTGCATACCTATCTAAGGTCGATCTATTGTTTTGTTATTATTTGTTTTTTCCTTTTTTCCATCTTTTTGTGAACAGTTTAGGTTCTTCTATATTATTTTAAATAAAGAAAGTACGGAACCTAACAGTGTGGGAGTTATACTTCTCTATAATGACACCCAGATCCACACCCACACCCAGCCTATTCTCTCAACCATTTGCACTAAATAACAGTTGTATCTCTTATTGATAACTGCAACAGAGACGCTCGAGCAAATGAACATCCAATGCGTGCCAAGTAATGAAAATATTTTTAGTATAGCGGAAAATATTATATCGCAAAGAGTATCAATTAAAAATTTCTATACGAAAGAGTTTACTTTTTCTCTTGTCCCAAACTTCTTCTGTGTATTTAGACGATTCGCACAACATATTCCATTTGGCCGTCTGTACACTGTTGAACATAGCGATGCAACATTCGTCTGACTTCTCCTACGGCAAGTGTAAACGGTAGAGGTATCTCGAGGCGACGTGTTTCAATCACCTGATAGAGTCGCTCATCAATGTTTAAAAGAGCAGGAAGAAAATTCTTGCAGGCTTCTGCCAGAATCCACACCTCATGACAACTTAATCCACTTGTTATTGTTCGTTCAGCAATGGTAAGTGGTTTGGGATAGACATACTGTTCTTCATCAGCTGTTGGCTGTCGTTGTGCCTCACCTAGATGACCAGACAGACTCATTTGTATGGCCTTGCCAAGTGTCTCGAACATTGAATTGTGCGATCGGTTGATGATATCCTGAATTCCATATGGTGATTGGAGTTCAAAAAACTCTTGAACAAGAATATTACCCGTTTCATAATTCTTCGTTGTGTAATGCCATGCAATACCCCAACGAGGCAGTTGCTGTAGTATTGCTCGGGGGAAAATAGTGCTTCCTCTGTAAAGTGGTAATGGGCTTGGATGTCCGTTGATCTTGATCGAGCGATGAGCAAGGAAGCATTCGGTAAGTTTATAGGGAAAGTGCCAGGAAATGACAAGATCAGGATCGAGAGCTTCGAGAAATGGAACTAGTTGGGAGATACCAGTAACTGTCACGACAGGTGGAGGATCAATGACACTTGTGTATACTGCTCGTATTCGAGCAGCAAGATCATCGTAATTTTTTTCGTTCAACGAATAATTGTAACCAAGAGCAGTAGCTACAAGCACTACTTCACAGCCGGCTTGGCGAATGGTGTTGATGATTCGAATGAGCTTGTTGCCATCCTGACGAGAGAGCAGCAGTACCTTCTTCTGATTAAGAGGAGAAGATGGGAGCAAAGTTATAGTCGGCTGAAGAGTTGCCATATAGTTCACTGTTTTCGTTTACAATCTTATGCAACAACCACACAAAATTAATACTAAAGAGCTAAATCTTCTGAGAATGACTCTACTATTATCTAGAAGTATTGAAGATTCTACAGATTCATAAAAAAGCTAGTAGGAATGATTGCAAATATAACAGACAGTGTACGACTCAATCATTGAATACCTCTGAGTACGGGACATCTCCCAAAACATCTTCACTGATAAGTGACATCGAAGGTGGGCCAACAAAGCTGAATATTTGGTGACTTGACTTCCATTGAAATTTAAAGCGAGCAAACTTTCTTAATCCATTCGACTCGACCGATTCATTTTAAAACTCATAAAATCAAGAACCTATCGTAAGCAAGCGATAACGAAAACGATATTTTCACATACAGTACTAGGATCATGGAATTTTCAAGTCTTAGATGCTAGAATTTCGATTAGCGAATATGCACAAAATACTGTGACCCTCGAGAGGAACAGGACTTCAGATTAGCGAGGGAATGGCGACGAGTTTCCTCTCCGAAAAAATTTTCGATTTTCTGTAAAGTTTTCAAAATCCATAGTAAATTTGGACAGAAGGTGATTTTTTAGGCTTTTGGTTCTTTCTCTGATGCAAAGTTATATAAAGACATTTTCTACCGCATTCTAGCCCCTTTCACCTTCGGAAAATAATCGTGAACCCTGCACGAAAGCACTCTTCCGTACACCAACACTAATGTTTAATAGACGTAAGGCAATCCAAAAGTAGTGCCCCAGATATCTTATTTTCGTGTAGAAGATTTGAAGAAATTCTCTTTTTTTATCAGATGGCAGAGAAAACGAAGCTCTATTTTTCTGTGCTATTTAATCACTCTTCAACTAATATCATAAGAAAAAAAATTTGATAAGAACTGTTTTTGTGTAAAACTTAACTAATGGTTAAGGCAGATTAAAGGCTATGCTTTGCATTTCAATTTTCAATCACTTAATACGTTGTATTAAAACACAAAATATACCACAAGATGCAGCGTGAAAGGCTTTATAATTTACATAAGACCACTTATTTTATAGTTGCACTTTTTGTTTTCAAAATGAACAAAATTTTTAGCGACCAAATTTCCACCGTGCGAAAACGATATTTTTTGGTACAAGATGAATTCGTTTTTTCTTATTTCAACTTTTTATTACCTGACATCTTGTATTTAAAAAAAAATACATCAAAAGATGCAGCATGNACGATGATGTACAATTTCTAAAAAAATATTGTGAAATTCTTTCATAAGAGCATCGAAGCATAACTTAGGAATCTTAGAATCAATCCTTCAGTTTAGTATAGGGAAACACGCTGATATCTTGGCATAAGCATGTTGTTTAAATGAAAAATGAAAATCTTTTATTTTCAAATATCTTTATTTCTTTCTTCTTCTAATTCACTATGATTTTAAAGTGTGTAAAATGGTAATATCTTTTTCATATAACAGTTCTTGTGGTTTAACTTGGTTTGGTAAATCCAAAGTATGTTCTCTCTAGTCCTTGTCTTTACATTGTTGACAAGTGACTATCGTCATGCCGGACGAGTGAGAAAAACATACAGTCTATCTACAACTATTACAGGTTTGTCGAACTTCTCTCCCAAGCCGCGCTGGATATAAATAACACCTTCGTTTTTCTCGATCCGAATGATTGTTCACACTTAGTTCTTCGACGACATTCGAACGAAGACGATAACCAAGGGAGAATAAAGCAAGCTTCACTTTTGGCATGAGACGAGGTTCTTGACTGCGACGCTGGTTTTGCAAGACTGCTAAATCCGTACTGAGCTGTGATAAGAAGATACGACGGATATTTGTCCTTTTACTATTCCATGTAGCGTTTTGACACAACCAAACCGTCATAGCATTGAGTGCGGCAATATCAATCATATTGTAAAATACAATCATCGGCCATCGTCGAGTGATTCGTCTCACCGTGTTATTACCAATACATTGATCCTTAGCATCAACACTACATTTTGTCTGATTATAGTCGTGAATCACACAGGGCAATTTCTTCTCATCGTCGAATGTTTCAGCATGTGTATATAAAGACAATAGCTTGATATCGGCTTTTTTCTCCTTCACTTGATAGAACAGCAGCAGATGCGATTGAGAAAAATAAAACTATGATGAAAACAATTGTTTTCGGCATACTTTCAACTTGTTGGGCAGAAAAACACGCCTATGTTCAACAACTCCAACAGAAGCCATTTTGCGATCGAGTAGAGCTTTAGATAATTTAATATCCGTAAAATAACGATCAAACGTAATGCTGCGACCTTGCTTGACATTGTTCGACAGTTGATCAACTAAATTAAGAGCAACGGTGTAACTCAGGTTCTTCTGAACCATATTAGAGTGAGGGTGAGTTTTGAAAGAATTATAAGATTCAAAGCGCTATACGACGCGTTTCGAACCTTGCTTAAGGGTTCATCATGAGGTAAGTTTGGATTAATATAATCTTCATAAGTTGATCTCATCTCAAATGCAAAAGACAAATATAAAGGAGAATGAAAACATCGAATATTTATATAATGTTCTGAGAAAACGTCGAAGTTTCGCAGAGGTTCTTATAATGGGTGAATTAACAAGACAATTGCAAGCTGCTTTACGACAATCTTGTTGACGTTGGTTTATCCTCGGAGTACCAAGCTTATTTTTGGAGATAATAGCTCCAACGTCGATTATTCCTTGAAGAATTAGAAAAAAGTTTAACCGCTCATCCTCTTGATTATGGCTCGAAAACTTTTAAATTTTTATATAAGGATATCCAAAATGCATTAGCCGTTGTCGATTATTCTATGATAAAGCAACCGTCAGAAAAATTAAGTGAAAACTGCACAATCAAAACGTAAACGCTGTTCGCTTTGTGATCGTTCTAAAGATAGAAAAGTTCGAAATAAATGTTATTATTGTTCAGAACCGGTTTGTGATAAGCACTCTGTTCAACGATTTTTTTGTATTAACTGTTCTAAAGAAAGAAAAACTATAATTCTAATAATTTCTTTACAAGACTGAAGACAAAAATAATCTAATTATGGCAAAAATATCGATCCAGCAATCAAAATTATAGAATATAAATACATGTTATCATAATTCTTATTCCAAGCAAAAGAAAAGAATGATAGAGAGAACAAGATTCTTAACTCTACATCCGAAGTCTAATGAGTCATCCATTTTACTAGTTGAATAGTCTCAATCTATGGCGAGAACTTGTTTTAATTGGGTTACAACTATATCCAATTAGATAAGTAATGATCCATTCCATTGAAGACTAATAATTGGACTAGTTTGATATTTTCCGTGTTTTATTATAATTTACGAGGGAACATTCCCAGGTGTTGGAACGCTTTTCAGTCGGGACTTAGTACATTTTGTTGATCTTAGTGAGTTATGTTTATCATAAAAAAGGTTTATGCCCATGACCTGTTTCTAAGGGGATCTAACGTTTTTAGATTTATAGCTGGATATTTCCGGTGTATCTGAACCGCGTTGTACACAAATGATCTCCGTTTTTGAAGAAGTTTTCAGTGTTTGTAGAGCTTTTAACTCTGAGCATTTTGATAAAAAAATTGTTTCAAAATGCATTTATTTTAATGAAGATACACTCAAAATACTGCACGCAGTACGAAACCCAAAAACTCTGAGGAAGATTTTTCTTGAGCCTTTTTGGGTTTTTATTACTTACAGTACTTTGAATGTATCTCCATCAAAACAAAAGTGTTTTGAAAATTTCTTTTTATCGAAATGCTCAGAATTAAAAGTTCTACAAATGCTGAAAACTTCATCAAAATTGGAGATCATTTGTGTACAACGCGATTGAGATATACTGGAAATATCTAGCTATAAAACTAAAAACGTTCGATCTCCTTAGAAACAGGCCATGGGCACAAACCTTTTTTATGGTAAACATAGCTCACTAAGATCTACAAAATATACTAACTAGGGAACATTCCCAGGTGTCGGAACGCTTTCCAGTCGGGACTTAGCGCATCTTGTAGATCTTAGTGAGCTGTGTCTACGGTAAAAAGAGTTCGGGTTTCTGGCTTGTTTCTGAGGAGATCCAACGTTTTTAGTGAATTTCCACTATAGAGCCTGACATTTGCAACAAGGCCAGATTGTCGAATTTTGATCTGAAACTTTGGCCACATAAAGATGTCATCTAGACTAGTTTG